GAACGGGCGGTAATTTGGGCAGGGAGAGCAGGCTGACTGGGCCAGCAGGCCGAAAATGAAAGGGAGAGGATTTCCTTTTTTTCTTTTTCTTTTCTAATTTTTGAAACAAATTTTGAAATGCAAATTCAAATCAATTTGAAAATTGATTTCAAACCACACAATACAAAAATAATATGCAGCAGCATGAATGCGCATACATGTTTGTAGACCTATATTTGATTTTATTTTTAACAAAATTATTATTTTCCTAAATTTAAATGCTCACAAAATACATAATTAAGTTATTTCCTCCTATTTTAAAATCATGGAATTTCTAGGGTGTTACGTCGGGGCATCAGGAAATGGACATCGAACAAGCAAGTACTGACAAAGCAGGGTATCCCAGAAATTCAGCTCATCTCCCAATTGGTTCAAGACACTAGTGCTTGCTCTTTCTCTGAATTAAGTTGGCCGTTCAAAGTTCCAGCCCCAATGATCTGTAAAGTGGTGAAAGGGAAACCAGCATCTGACTTAGCTTGAATGTGCACTGAAAGATTGGTACTACAACTCTTTCCTGTAAGTGTTTGAGGAACTATGGGAATTTTAAACCCGAGAACTTGCAGCAAAGTTTCAGTGTCTTGTGCAATATGCAGAGCAGCATTGCACAGCATCAATGTTAATTCCTTGTCTTTCATCAAATAAAATGGAAAAAAATCTCATGTTTCTGCAGCGTAGTTAACTGACCAAATGCTGCACTGGTGAAAATGTGCAGCTAGGAAATCAGCAGTCTTCTTGTAATTCTAGCTGTCACCGCTCTTTGCAGTTGCCTGCTGGCCGCTGCACAGCAGCGCCAAGAGCTCCATGGCCGCCGCCGCCATCTCCTGCAGATTGCGCACGTGCATGCAGCTCGTCAGCTCTGAACCCATGGCGCCTGCCGAGATTGCTAAGGCCTTGTTGGGGTGTTATCGGATTTACCTCAATCCACGTGTGTTAGAGTAGATAGGGATGAAACTTAGTTTAAATTTCACTTTAACACCTCAACCCATGTGAATTGATGGAAATCCGACTACATCCAAATAACGCCTAAGCCGGAGATGTCGAGAACATTAGGACGGGTACGTTTGATAGACCCAGGGAAGACCATGGCACTGTGCAAGAAAACAAGTAGACACCGATCTGAATCAAGGCAAACGTGGTCTGAGAATAATCCTCATGAAAGTCAGTTGATTCTTGCCCTCACAAGTCACAAGAAAAAAGAAACAAAGAAACTCAGTTGATTCCTTAAAGCATCTCCAGCCGTGCTATCTAAATCAGACTACCTAAATATCTATTTTGGTAGCCACCTAGTTCCTAAAACAGACTCCCTAAATTCATTTGCGGAGTGAATGACATGTGGGGCCGTGCTGTCATCCTCTCCCTCTTGTTCTCTACGCCGGCGAGGAGATGCGCCCACGCCATGCCCCTGTGCCAGGGAAGGCCACCGTGGAGAGGTCGCGCTGGGGCGGAGGAGGTCTGGTGGGGTGGGGAGGAGGAGGCGCGAGGCCGGCTTGGGAGGAGGCACGCAGAGCAGAGGTCGCCGCGGGGAGGAAAGGCCGCCGCGCTGGGGGGAGGGCATGGCCGCCGCGCGCTCGCCGGTGCTTGCCGCTGGCGAGGGGCTCCACCGGAGAGGGAGGCCGGTAGGGGAGGGGGCTGGGCGGGGAGGAGTGCCGAGGAGAGCGGCTGCGCGTCAGGAGAACCGTTGGGCGCTGCTGTGAGGCTCGCCGCGCCGAGGGAAGCCAGATCCGGGGTCGGGCGCCGCCGGGGAGGGCCGTCGGGGAGGGATGGGACGCTGGGGAGGGCCGGTCGGCTCCCTAGCGGCGGCGGACGGAAGGCGCGGGGAAGAAAACGTCGGGCGTGGGGAGGAAACGGTGCGGAAGAAAATAGGCAGTGAGATTTGTTGGCCCACAAACAAAGGCAGCGGGAGTGGGAATTTGTTGGGCCAATAAAAGTAGTAGTCTGATAGGTAGCATGATGGAGTGCGTTTTTTTGCCTCCCTTACCTAAATATAGGATAGATAGTGGTAAAGGTAGTCTGCTGAAGATGCTTGCAGCAAATTAAAGGTTCCAAGTTTCACCAGCACGGTACCATCACTCCATCAGCTTCAACGCTACAGATAAGTTTCATGGCAATTGGGAAACTAGTGAATTTGTTCTTGTTTGTATCTTTCAATCTATCATATCGGTTTGGTGCTAGCTCATACCAAACTCTATTAATATGTATGTGTTCTATTTCAGGTTCTAGTGACGAGGGTGTTCATTTATTTGAATGATGGAAGAGGTGAAGAGAATGCCACACAATAAAGACATCTGCATGGGATTTTTCTTAATTTATGTCAATTTAATTGGGACAAATTGTAACGGATGAAGAAACTGGTGGATGTAATTTATAGTTTGTTTATTTACATATTTATCATCTATATACTACCTGTTTAGTGGGTACGCTTGCTTGCTTGTTGATGGCAGACTGCTTGTGCATGCTAATTCCTTGAGGGCCCTTGTTAACGCGCTTGGACTTGGAGTACTATTGGCAGCATTTGATTATTAGAGCCCTTGGATTGCATTGTAGGATCGGCCCTTGGGCTAAGAAAAGGATCGGATCGGACTAGGATGGCGTAATTTTAAATAACGGATTGGATTGAGCAGAACTAAATCATTGAGGTTTGGAGTGGGGCTGGGCCCGGTCTACAATAGATAAAGATTGGGGTGGGGTTAGGGCTGGATCACGATCCATTACCAGGCTCCGGCTTGGGGCCACCACATACCACATACCACTAGTCCACTACACTAAGGAACAAGCATATTCAGAAACGACAAAAATTCCTGACCATATCAACTAGGATTGTGCTTATCAGGCATTGCGGTGCCGTGGAGAAAGGAATGCAAACAGTCCTAGAACAATCCAAAGCATAGCGTCCTCTCCTTTATATCTTTTCAACTAAACTAGCTTATCGTATTGATCGACTGTGCTCCATTCCACCACACTTCACATTGAGAGTTGAGAAAACAGAAATGTGAGACTGTTTATAATGCAGAAATTTCATGAGAAATGATCACATGAGTATGATAAATTTGTACTCTCCAAACAGCACTTGACAGGACTTGATGTTTGAGTATGACAAACCGGATTTCTGTCATGTAAACACTAGCTAACCTTGCAGGTATCCACAAATTGGAAACCTTTGAGGTGTGACAACAAGTTATCCAAATCCAAGGATTGATTGCTCCCAGGCCACTTCCATTCGACCATTCGTAAGGAAACCACAAAAGGCTCACTTTTCATAATTGTGCCCGGGCCTAACTCATACAAATAGATGGACGGTACAACAAAAGGAGCCCAAGACAAGTATCAACACACTTGGGCCATAAGTAACTGTCCCCTGCCCGCTTGGGAGAGTATAATCTCTTGGGCCCTACAAGAATCACACCTTTTAAATTACTGGTATTTTTGTAGCCGATGCAGGTCCTGTCACGTTAGAAGTGTTAAAATATTGGTTAGAAAGGTTAAATAAAAAATCACATGTTTTTGGACATAGCCATTGAGTCAGCAAGAGAAGCTTAAAGATAAAATTACAGAAAAGTTGTTTTAGCAAGGGACCCTCTCTGTCATGTTCCCTCCATATCCTTTTGATAAGGTGCACAGACATATTAAGATTTAAACTTTAAAATATTTAACTAATAATTTTATAATAAATTTTAACTATTATAATATAAACTAGTAGACATGCACGTGCGATATGCACGTGCCTAACCAAAATATAATATAGTGATTTTCAATTTCAAACAAAGGTACATGTGGCAATGGTACAGGAGATCAGTTATTCAGTTCATCAGATCAATGGATTTGGTAAACATGTGCAGTAAAAATAAACCAGCCACAAGTGTAAATCTTCCGAAGCTGATGCAATCATGTCTACCAAATTGATTTATCTGAAACAAATCATAGATGAAGCAAGACAAGGTGGCTTCTTTGAAACAATCTTCAGGGTAGGACAATAAGATATTATTATACATAACACAGCATGAGTTAAGACTCTGCATTGTTGGCCAGAACACCATAGAGTAAAGAAATAACTACACTACTGCAATCCTTAGTCAGATATCAAAGAAATTTAAACAGTTTGTTGATGGGCCTGAGCCATTCAAATGATTCTCACAGATTAAAAAAGGTGGAGGATGAACTAAAGCACAGAGCCATAGGGTAAGAAAATATTTTAGACTGATACTCAGCATTTTCAAGTGCTGTAATAATTGTACATAAATGGTTTACATTATAAAAATATGAGGAAGATATTTGACTATCTATAAATCTGAGTATTTTTTATACATCTAATGAGGTCTTGAACTCCAGTAGGTAAGTTATCTTCACATTTATTTTCGTTGGCGGGGCAGCTGCAGAGGACGATGAGGTGGCAGCACCGACGCTGCATAATTAATGCATACAGGTAGCATGCGATCGGAATAATTATGAATTGATTTCGGGGTGTGAGCCATAGAGTCTACGCATGTAATATTATAATGAAAGTACATATATAGTATGAGATAGGAATACTCTTCTTGTATTTATATAATAACTAGGTAGCGTGTCAAATGCGTTGCTATGGGATAACTACTTTTTTGTACTAAAAACACACGGATCACATGATAAGATAACAATATTGTAAGACATTAAATTGATATTTAATCCAAAAAGCAAAGTTTGTGAAATTAACGGTCATTAAGAGCACGGCACCTTGAGCTCACAAACTCTACTATATAGACATTTCTGTGATACGGCTAAAATAATATTTTATATCGGCAAGAAGTCTCCGATATTACAAACTAAATGAAGCAATCAAATATGTTAGACAAACATTGCTCAATCCACATATTTTGAACCTGTTTAACCAATGAAAATGCACAAAATGATTATTATATTAAACTAAATTCATGTCCATCATCTATTCAAAGTGCAAGTCACAAGCGTGTAAATAATTTCAATATTATTTAGTTCTCTAAATCTATGAGACGCGACACGGTGTCCTTAGCAAATTCTTGAACTCGGCGACGTCTGGCTTCATCAACAAGCAGACGATTGCGTAGGCCTATAAACAAATAAAAAACTTTTGGGTCAGTGTTGTAGTCAATAAATCAAATCAATGCATTACCCCAAAAGAACCTCACTTTGAAAATCATGCGTCTGATTACAAATAGGACTGAATACCAATTCGCTGAAATCGTCAGTAGTGGTCACTCCGCCTATCATGCATGAGCAAAAAAATGTAATAACTGATACTTTATTTAGGCAATACATATAAGGACATCAGTGATACAATACCTCTCTTTCTATTCATTTGTACATGGAGACCAGCTAAAATGCGCAACTCTGATGTCGCTCGCCGCCATTCCGATAAGTGACAGCATATGTGTGTATACTTGACAGTTATTATGATGCAGTGGTACCTACGAGTTACAAAATTGATTAGCATCAAACAATAAAAAATTGATAGCATGGAGCAATGATAAAATTTTCAATCTAAGTACCTTTCATTCATCAGCACCACATATCTGTACGGTCGCATCCGTACGTCATCCCTTCCTCGAATATTAGACACATGCACAACTATACCAATGACATCTACAAACACAAACGATAGTTATTGATGGAATAGGAGCATGAATAGTTAACTATGTATTTTTAAATATAGGCGTATGAGGTATACCTACAAAAAAGTACTCAGCTTGAGCGTATACATCCTCGAATTCTATAAAGGTACGAGGACACTGACAAATCCATAGCTCTCTCGGTGGTGCATTAGCCATACTTTGTGGAGATAGGACCACAAAGTAGTCGGCACATAAACAGAAGATGTAGCCCAAAGGACCAACATGAGTAGGCATGAAGCCAACTCTCATGAAGTCATAACATTCTCCTACATGAAGCAAACGGTCGAACCCCATGGTTTGGTCGCCGTATGCAACCGCTTCCATTTTGGTTCCCTGTAAGAATATTATATCCAACAGATAGATAACAATGGTCTGTAGAAAAAAAATTAGACATGGTCGAAAAAGATGAGCTCAAAATGCACCTGCTCATCCTTCAAAATTACATGCAAATATGTATCACCATGGTGATGTCGTACGTTGCCTTTCTAAAAAACCATGGCACTCACATCCCATATGGAAGATATGTGTTCCATTCCCACTTCATGGAATTCAACCCATCTACAATCCCGTCCGTGTCGATCAAAATGATAAAACACACGAGTAAACCTATGTTGACAGAAAATGATTGCCTCGATCAATTACAAGATAAATGTAACATAGTTACATGTAGATGTGTGTATTGGTGATTGCAGGCGGTGGGTCAGCGTACACCCTCTTTCTTTTGAGCGACCGACAGCTAGAACCCATATCGGCAACTGAGAAACCAAAATCATAAAAAATATACAGGATGACATTAGTCAGTCTCAACATAATATACTATTATTCTATGGAGATCGACAAGCAATTAAAGATTTAAAGTTGTCTGCGTGCTCTGTGCCTCTGTCCTGTTATCTTGATGGCGTCATGTGAGGCCTCTGAAATAACTACAACACCTACATTGTTAATTTGTTAGCATACATGATCGCAAATTTGATGTGCGTGCGTGGCCACGTGCCAACAAAATTTGAACTGCAGTATATGGTGATAGATTGTGATGCAAATCAAACCACCAAAATGAGATTATGTTTTGGTTGCTATCATGATGCCTTAGAAATAATTTTTGGTTTATGATTTATTATTGGAGTTGTGTAGCCTCTAGAAATCCAATCCAAACAGGGCCATGAAATTTTTAGGATTTACATGCTCCAACAAGTACAGGGAATAAATTTTATAAAGAGATAAAAGGAGCTAAGCCTTGCATTAGCTAGAGATCCCAACACGCACCACATAGCCTCTGCACGTATCTATCCAAGACTCTTAAAGAGGCATGATTTCAGATCACACAAGCACTGTAGGCAATAACAAATAAAGAAACGCATTAGGGCAGGATGGGATTCACTATCAGGGTGGACGCATTCTATATAACAGCCATATTTTGTTTATCCACATGCGCGGAGGGCGCACGCATTCTACTTTTTTATTTCTTTCTTGCGCCATATTTTGTTTATCCACATGCGCGGACAGCGGGCGCCTCTGGTTTTCTTTCTTGGAGCGTGGGAAAGAAGGACGCACGACCAGGGCAGGGACGACCAGACGGGCTAGAAGGATCTGGAACTGTCCACAGTGGTTACGTTTGGGCCTAAACACTACTACACGTGGGCTATACATTCGTTGCGGGCTTGCGGCAGCTCGTGGGCTCGTAGCAGGTCCGTCGACCATCACCACGGCTGCAGCACAGCAGCAAGCAATGCGCTCGTCATCTCGTCGACGGTCGCAGATGCCGGTGAGCGCGTGCACAGCCGAGACGAGACGCAGACGTCGAATTGTCGAAACGACTCACTAAAATTGGTGCCGGTCACTTTTGCAATGTGGTGTGTGTGCTCTATTCTCTCGTTCAATCGTTCCGGAGGTGGCGCTTGTGCAACAGTGCAAGTGACACGGTTGCTGCTTTTTTCCCCCTTTTTCCGGATGGCTTGTGTTGCTGCTCCAGCTAATGTTGCAGGTTTGTTAGCAGTTGCAACTTGCATCAACAGCATCAACCCAGTGATGAACGTCTCAAAAAATAAACTAGTGATGCAACTGATGGTTACTGTAAAAGTGATTGTTTGCTGAAACTTTTACTCAATGGTAAAAGAAAGTTAAGCAAAGGAACTGTTGCTACGGTAGACTTGCAGAACCAGATCCTGGAGCGATCGAGCCAGTGCTAATCATCATTCAATTCAACAGTCATAACAGGAATACTCAGCCATTTGAATCTATAAGGATCATGACAACTCAATGGAAAGATGGAACACAAGCAATAAACATCAAATCAAAGTAACCAGAAGCACGAAATCATGGCAAATGGCTGCGGTAACGATTCGATTTCAGGCACAGATAGAGGTTCACAGTCTAAGAACTTGAAGCAGAAACACAGAAGGTTCATGACGAATTACTGGACCAACCATTCTCAAACCACTACCACGACAACACGCATCACATAGCCTCTGCACGTATCTATCTAAGACTCTTAAAGAGGCATGATTGCATATCACACAAGCACCGGAGGCAATAACAAATAAAGAAACGCATCAGGGCAGGATGGGATTCACTAACAGGGTGAACGTTTGTGGAAGACAGAAGATGTTGGAAGCTCCTCGTGGCAGTCTACAGTCCTCCTCGAGGGCATAGCAAGACGGCGAAGGCGATGGCGGCAGGCGATGACAATGGCGATGCGCTATGGCAAAGCACAGCCGGTGCGCGAGGGAGGGCGCAAGGGCGGAGGTCGGTGCGAGCGAGGGTGAGCTTAGCTGGCGAGGGTGAGCGCTATGGCGAGGCCACAGGATTTATAGCAGAGGATTGATAGCAGTCTCTCTCTTTCCTTTTGTCTTAATTCTCTTTCCTTCTGTGTTAATTCTCTTTCCTTGATCAAGGCTAGGGGAGCCGGGAGAGGCTCATTGCCATGTATGCTGGTGCATGCAAACATACAATGTGTATATGGATAGCATAATAATTTTCTACTCCCTATTTTACCGTGATTTCTCTATCACATGACAGGTAATATTCAATCAAATGGGAGATGTAATCGAGCACTATTAGGAAAGTAGATCAATGGACTGTACAATGGCACTATATATATATGGATTGAGAGCTGGATTGTACACAAATCATGCTGAACAAAAAATATCATTTCAACTTTGCAGTGGTTCATTTGTTACAACATCATATATGTACATGGTATATATTTGTTTAAATAAAGGGATATAGATAACACATAACGTCATATGGTGTACACGAAGAAGTGAACGTCTTTCTTTCTTCTATAGATGGATACTCAATAAACTACTAAACCTGAAAGAATGAACACCATACCAACAGTGCTTCCACGTAGTTCCATCCCCCCAAACAAAAGTCCCTGCACATAAATCCGCAAATGTTCAGTAATCATGTAACTGAACATCCCCGCAAATGTTCAGTAAGATTCAAACGAATTTTCTAATTCTATGTTTCTTTTACAAGAAAAGGTAAGCTAAAATATACCAAATTGAATTGTTACCCTAAAAGTATTCAGAGCCACCAGCTAAGAATTTTTTTCAAATATTAGGATTCAGGACTTAGGAGTTTAGGTTGTCCAAAAAATAATTGACACCATTTTCATATTTTGAATGCCCAAGCTAAAATTCCTGGGCCTGCCACTGAATGTTTACGGCAGTAATCAGCATGTGCCTATGTGTGACTGAAGTAGATCCATATTTTCATTTTAAATTAATAAGAATATATCCTCAAATACTACATTAGCATATATATTATCAGGGTCCAGATCTTAAGGACAGTTCATAGATGAAAGTCATGTAAAATTGAAAATGAAGAGAACCAAACAATTCATGCACATTCGTAACAGTGTCAAGATACCTGTTATGTAGTCTGAGGCTCTGAGCCTCACAGACAGATGGTGTGCACATCTGCAACAACAATTTCATTGAGCATTTTTTTAATTACCTAACTATAGAAGCTTACATGATCAAAGTTCAAATCAGATTAAGTATGAATTGATAAGAAATGGAAATTTATAGATCATATGCAGCTCTGTTAAAATGCAAGAAGTCACTTTGCCCAATTCAGAAGCTAAGCAGTAGCTTTCAACAAAGACAAGGCACTCAAATTTACATTATGAGATCCATGCTAGATATCAGTTCTATTCTGGAACTAAGTTATGACCTGTAGCGCAAAAAAATGGGGCAACAGAACATTAAAAGTGTCAGATTGGATGGAGAAGATACTAAAGTAAATGCATAATTGTCTAACCTTCTAGCCATATCACAAAGATATGGCAAGCATGCTACAATATAAGCCAAATTTTGAAGATAGAAGTTCCTTGATTATACACACTCTTTTCATATTGTCAAAGGCAAGGTACATCATCAAATTAAGTTTTGAAGACAGAAGTTCCTTGATTATACTGACACTCTTTTCATCTTGTCAAAGTAAGGTTACAAGCAGGTGTTGAACCAAATTGTAGAAACTTGTTTGAGAAGAGAAAGCAATTAAGGTGCATAGGAGAAAGCTTGGCACAGTTCAGCTGCAGAGAAATCAAAAAACACTAAAGAAAAGAGCAATAAAAAAACACTAACACACCAAGGAACAAAAGGATTTGCCCATTTCTTGCATTTGGTCAGCACATTTGCATTGCATTCACAGTTAATTTTAATCTGCCATATCATAATGTGGTGGATTTCATTTGACATAATATAAAATAATTGACGACAATTAGTGTGGCCAACTGAAAATGTTGTTAGACACTGTGCCCACAAACTTCAGGCAAACATGCCTATCCTTGGCTAGTATATTATTTTCTGCTTCTAGAGTTGTGGTTAGCTACTGTCATAGGCGTAATTACTAAACAACTGTTGCACATTTGTGGTGGACAAAAGGTAATTGTCCGTTGTCCCTTGTGACAATTAGGGAGATCTACCAGAACGGGTTCTGAGTTAAGTAGTCGATTAGATATTCGACAAAAAACTTCACCACTTGGCTACCTTTTTTTTCCTTCAATCCGTACATGAAATTTTGTGAACATTGACAAGGTTTGTTGTTACCTTATATAGTAGTGAATGCCCAGCGACCTAATTGGATCTTGGTTCAGTATCGACTGGTGGCTTGGTGAGTTCCTTCCTGCCTTGCCATCGTCTCTGTTTTTAGAGCAAAAGCTTTGACCCTGCTTGTATTCAAAGCATAATACGGATTACTGGGGTTGCCAGTTTACAAGACATAGCTATCCAAATGAGAAGCACCTCCCCAAACCAAAAGCAGTAACCTCTACCTCAAACCTACTCCCA